AGCTGGGCATGGTGGCTCGTGCCTGTAATCCCAGCTGCTCAGGAGGCTGAGGCACGAGAATTGCTTGAACCCGGGAGGCGGAGGTTGCAGTGAGCCGAGATCGTGCCATCGCACTCCAGCCTGTGCAACAGAGCAAGAGCTGGTCTAAAAAAAAAAAAATTACTTATCTATTTCCTCAGATAGACTGAGTTTTTCCAGAGATGGAACTACAATCTGTGCATCCCCAGATTGTAACATAGTTTTAAGCAAACATCCACTGAAAGTCTGCATGGAAGACGGCACAAGCTGCTTGGAGCAAGCACAGAGCTCCTAGAGAGACTGACACTGGAGCTGGGCCTAGAGAATGGCCAAGAATTGGATGAACTGAGACGCAGCAGCAAAGTAGTTGCAGGTGGCAGGCATGGCAGGAGCAGGGACCAGGTGGCTGGAAGAGCTGAGGGTACAGAACTGAAACAGTTTGTTGGAGGTGGAGAGAGGAAGGTGGGATTAGATGAGAAATGATGAACCCAGTTTCCAAGAAAGACCAAGAAAGATAAGCAAAGGGATTTAGGTGGGATGCCCTTCTAGGTTCTCATGAAACTAGCTACCTGCCTTGCACCTCATGCACTTTGCATAAGGGAAGATGGTTCAACACAGTCTTGCAAGAAGTGAGACAAGCAAGCAATGACAATACTCTGAGATAGCAAATAGGGATTGGGCTACGGAAAAGGGAGCACCTGAAGGTCCCAAGGCAAAGAAGGCTTCGTAGATCAGGGGAACACTTGAAGTGAGATGGGAAGAAGCACAGGAGTTCATTAGGTAAGGATGCAGGGAGATTTTCCTTGCCAGAGGGAACAGCATTATTGCTACCCTGGGAGGGTGGAAGGGCATGGCGTATTAAGAAGCACCACACAGCCACACAGGGCTGGGTCATCAGGCGAGCACTGGATGCTGAGGTAAGGCCGTGGAGGACCTCATCTCCCACGTCAAGGGGTATATACTAAATCCTGTACCCAGCGGGAATGCTGCGGGTTGGATTCTGTCTCCCAAACCAGATGTGTTGAAGTCCTCATCCCCAGTTCCTCAGAATATGACTTTATTTGCAAATAGGATAGTTGTAGAGGTAATTAGTTAAGTTATGAAGAAGGCAGGCCCTTGACCCAATATGATCAGTATCTTTAAAAGAAGAGATGAGGGCAGGGCGCAGTGGCTCACGCCTGTAATCCCAGCACTTTGGGAGGCCAAGGC